CACACACACACACACACACACACACACACACAGAGTGATGAGAAAGGATGCTCTACTCGTCTGCACGCCACACAATGAACCAATCAGAAAGGCTCCCTCAGGCCAGGCGGTTTGATTTCTGTCATTTTACATCAGGGTTTCAAAAGGTGTCACATCAGACTGAATAACACACACTCACACAGTTCACCTACATGTGTGTTCTATTCTAAATTTAAGTACACAAACAGGTGATTCAAACTGATTTGGGATCCAGTAAAAAGAGAACTAAATGTTACTCACCAAGGTCTCTTTCGACAGAACGTAAAGAGAAAAACCTGAAAAATGAAAGGCAACTAGAATAGTTCCTGCAGTAACTATGAGGGGGCTACATGGCATCCAATTTAAATTTAAAGTGCTTGTGACATGCTTTTTCTTCAGTTACAAAAAATTGAAGAAGAAATCCTAATGTTTTAGAAATTTGGCATCATTCATATGACTTTTACCAAGTTTGTCACAAAACGTGCATATGTTTTGCTAAATTTGGTGCAGTCCAAGTGAAACAGGAAGTGATGTCAAAGGGGAACTCTAAAAAAAGGGTAACTTCCTGGTCTTCATAAATCTGACTCTTCTTTATCGATCTGATAATGACTCAAAATAACCTACAGAAACATCTGATTCTTTGCAGTCTGTTGTTAGCCGTTGTAACAACTTATTCATGCATTCCCCTTTGACATCACTTCCTGTTTCTGGTCATGTGAATATGTCGATGTCAAATTTATTTGATAGCACATTAACAACAAAAGCTGACCAAAGTGCTTCACAGTTCAGTCAAGACATCAAAAAACAAACAAATAATAGATGCAAATATCTCAACAACTGTTCATTTCAGTGTCGTGAATTTGACTGCAATTCATCATTAATGTTATTTTTATGCACTCAAATATATCACTTAAATTTAATGTCACGGGCACTTTAAGATTCAACTTTACTATTTGTTGAAAATCCCTGTCATTTACCGCCATCTCAAATTTCACCTCAACATGTAAACAAATGTCTGAATTTTTTTTATTTTAGCTTTGATGGTCATCATCAATTTTTGAACTGAGTTCAGTGTATAACAAGGATTGTTCCTCACTACCTCCACACCAAATTTCAGCCTGATATGTCTAAAAATGACTGAGTTATGGCCAATTTGAACGTTCCACTGGTGGCCATCTTAAATTTTTGTTTGCATTCATTATGTGATGGAGGTCACTCTTTGCTTAATATGTCAAAAAAATGGTAGAATTGGATTCTACATATAAATGTTTGGGATTAAAAATGGGCATGACTGTAAACATTTTCAGTTTCTACAGTTTTGAATTCAGTTCAGATACAAAGTGAGCTGTTTCTGAAGAGTGACTTTACGTAACACTGCAAACTAAGAGCTTTATTATTATTTGTAACTGAAATTAGTAAAAAGTGCATGTATTCATCTCAATTTAAGCTTCGTCACCGAACGAGCCCAGAGTTTAAGTGCACATATTGTTCATCTTCACAGCAAGATGTACAATATGTGCACCTCTGCTGGGTTTGTTAAAAGATAAAAATGGTGCAAACTTTTGGAGCATCTTCCACCCTTCCTGCCAGCAAAGTTTCTTTCTCATCTTGCGCGCATTCTCCGCAGAGTAGACCGGGGCCAGATGGATGGCTGCTGCTCTCTTTGGTCCTGCTGGCAGCTCCACCAACAATCCCATAATGCTCCCCAAAGAGATGCAGCAGGCTGCGAGCCAGGAACACTCTGCCGTCTAACTCCCACAGACACCTTGTTCAGTGGGCGGCTGGTTAAAAACTCTCTCTCTCACACACACACACACACATATTTCTGGTTGTTGCCACAAAGAAAACGTTGGTGGAGAGAGGACACTAATTAAAACATTAAAAATTAATGTCCATCTGTCGCTGCATCCTTCTGGAGGTGTAAGTGGATATAAACCACTTGTTTACAAGCTGCACACAAACACCCAGCAGAAAGGTTTGTTCTCCGTCTCCCTCCGAAACAAAAACCTGTTTGAAGCCTTCGCAGGCAGGTCAGAAACATGTTTTTTTTTAATCCGCACCCAGAGCTTGTCCTTAAAATGTTGTTAGGCTGTTTTCAGTAGGCTTGGTGTCAGCTGAAATAAGAGGCTCTCTGAGGTTAATGGGTCCACATCGTTAGATCCATCTGAGCATGCTCAGACTTATCCAGCGCTGGGGGGGGGGGACGCTATCCTCAGCCTGTCCTCCTCTCTGCCTCTTACTAACCACCCTGCATCCTAACAGACATTTTGCATCTATGAGTTGGCACAAATTAATGCACATGCTAAATTTAAAATCTCAGATGATTAATGAACAAGGCGCTTTAAAAAGAAAGTTTCATCAAATTGAAAAATGCGTTGTTAGTAGTGGTGTCCCGATACCAGCATTTTAACAAGCACTCAATATTCTCCGATACCCAGTGTTTGATAACAGGTTCAATACTCAGTTGGATGTGTTACAGTTTATATTTCAAGTGAAGCGTTTTAGTTCAAAGTTTTAAGTTGAAAGGAAATATTGTGTTTTTTATTTGTTTTAAAGGGGTGGTATTATGTATTCTACACAACAGTCAAGTAATTGTTACCTTTAGTTGTTCCGAAAATGCTGTATACATCAAAAGTAAATTTGAGTTTAAATGTCTAAGACCTCTGTCTCTTTAAGAACCTCCTACTGTTTCAGACACTTCCACTTCAGCACGTCTTCACAACGTTTCATGCCGTTTACAACCTTTTGTAGGAGCGTTGTATTTTGATGTAAAAAATTAAACGCATAATGTAGATTTTGGAAAATGGCAACTCAGGATAYAGTTGAACCTGAATCTAACGATCCCATGWCAGATACAGGAAGTAGGTTGTCTATGGGCAGAAACTTGTGCAAGCCCAAACTGAATTGCTCAGACTGAATCTGTATATGCATAATTTGAAATCGAATGCATTGGTTTGATAATGAATTTAACTAAATTGAAACTGAACCAATGCATTCAATTTAAAAATWTGAACGTACAGATTCAATCTGAGCAGTTCAGTTTCTGCTGGTACAAGTTTCTTCCCACAGTTATCTGTAGGACAGGAGCGAGTACAGAGGCTCTGTGGGGTGGTAGTTCAGCTGGGGACTGAGCTCCAGGGTGGAGTTTTATACAAATGGGCGGAGCTTTGTCCCAGCAAGCGTTAAGGCAGCTCCACATGGTCACAGGAGATTCAAGGATTTTTTTTAAACATGCATGAATGAGTCAAAGTAACACTCTGGGTATGATTTTGATGAGGGTGACATTATAACGTTGACTTTTACAATTCAGTTAAATTCAGTTACAATACCCCCCTTTAAAATGTTGCAACAGGCTGCTGTACATTTGATTTGATCCAGTCAGACGGGCTGGAGACCTATAAGGAAGGAGAGACACCTTRTTCTAAATAAAATAACTCTTTTCAAAGTCATTGTGTAATGTTTAGGTTCCAAATCAGCAAGTATTTGGTGTTGGTAGTCGATATCGACGAGTACCCAAACTGAAGTATTCGTACTCTTACTCGCTTTGAGAAACACTGGWATCAGGACACCCCTAGTTATTAGATGATTTTTTAAAAATCTGCTGTATTGAATTTGTTGTTTTTTTTTTCTCCAGAGGTAATTTTCCCTTACTGCCCACTCATAGCAGCTGTCTGCTTGTCCTCTTTAAGACCACAACATGTGAACAAACAGAACACTGTGCTGTTTTTATTTCCTCCTGAAACCCTGTCAAACCCGTTTCAGCGTTCTCTGTGGAGCTGAAATGGATTTTGGTTTATAGCTCTGCTTTTTGCATCAAGTCACAGAAGAGAGTTCAGAGCTGACAGCACACTGGCATCTGTTCATGTTTGGTCTGTGACTTGAGCAACAGGAGTTTCACGCTTTCGTCCTCAAGGTGTAAAATATTTTCCTCGCTCTCCGTCTGTCCTGTCAGGATCTGGGGTGGAGGACGCTGTGGGAGAGGTTTCCATCCATGTGGAGATTTTCACTCATCCAAACACCGGAGAGCACAAAGTCACAGTGAAAGGTAACTGCTGCTTTTTACTTGTCACCATCTCTGGGGTTTGATTCATGTTTCTAACACAGCACAATAGTTTCAAGTAAAATAGGCTAAACCTATAAAAATTAAACTGCATTGCAAAATAAAAAAACATTTAACTTATAATGAAATACCCACCAGCTTGCCAAGAAGCTGAAAATGATCCCTCAGAGAAAGCACTTTCTTATTCTATTTCTTCTTCTCACAACTCCACACTTTCACACATCTTCTCCACGTTGTCTTTTTTTCATAATTGCCCCACACCTTCCCACTCACGTTCCCACCTCTTCTGCTCCTCCCGCTGCCTCAGTGGTGGCAGCTAACGACCTGCGATGGCAGACACAAGGAATATTCCGCCCGTTCGTGGAGGTCTACATCATCGGCCCTCACCTGAGCGACAAAAAGAGGAAGTACGCCACCAAGTCCAAGAACAACAGCTGGGCTCCGAAATACAACGAGACTTTCACTTTGTGAGTAGACGGCGGTGCGGTTCGGGAGAGGACGTGGGGGATGCTCGTGTCACCTTCTGCTCCCTCCTTTTCTCTTGCAGCACCCTGAGCAAYGAGGTGGGTCCCGAGTGCTACGAGCTGCAGGTGTGCGTGAAGGACTACTGCTTCGCTCGAGAGGACCGCACMGTGGGCATGGCCGTGCTGCAGCTGAAGGACGTGGCCTCGAAGGGCAGCGTCGCCTGCTGGCTGCCGCTGGGCAAACGCATCCACATGGACGAGACCGGCCTCACAGTCCTGCGCATCCTCTCCCAGCGCAACAACGACGACGTGGCCAAGGAGTTCGTCAAGCTCAAGTCGGACCAACGCTCCGCCGAGGAGGGCCGCAGCTAAAAGGACGCCTGGAGCTCTTCTGAGCCCCTGCAGGTCACCGCCCCCGATAATCCAGAGTTGTAAAAGCACATAAAAGACGTCCACGCATCCAGTACTGTAAATACGGTTATTTCAAGTGAAAGCAAAGCAAACCACAGTCTTTCTTCAAAAACAAACACTGATATSTTTATTGTTGCTGATGTTTTAAACCATCATGGAGTTTAACTCGTGTTTCTGAGGGATGTCTTTGTAGCCTTTAATAGTTTGGCTTTCTTTCTCACTTTCCTCTGCCTTCTTGACTAGACCTCCCCCTCTGCTTTTCCTACCTGTGATCCTGGTACGAGTCCAACTTAGAGAAAGGACCGCAAGTGCCAACAGATAACTGCTGAAATCTGCCAAGRCCAAGCCCGAACACAACAGAACAAAATATACAAGCAGGCCTCAAACATTCCTCACATCAGGTGGGATAACACACAGGAACAAAGCACTAGTTAGTCAATAGTTTGAGTTTATTTTTCTTCTCTGAGATTATATTTTAATAATTCTATATATGATATAATATATTTAAAATATAAAGATATGTAAGGATACTTCTGTGGGTTTTTGGCTCAGTCTACCCTGTATCAGAGCACACAGCCTGACACCCTCAATGCCTTCTGTCAGTGGTGGGCACAGCACCGCTAATGTGCTAACAGATAACAGCAAAGCTAACTTTTTGCTTAGCGGTTTTAGGTAACCATCAGCAGACCAATTAGCTTTCGATAAATTGAGTTCGGCTAACTTTAAGTCTGCTAATGAAAACGAAAACAAGCCTCCCCTCAGACTTGCAGCACCTGCGTCATGCGCCTTGTGTGTTCGTGTAGCGTCTTTAGCTTTTTGTGTTACTCTTCAACTGGAAGGAAAGGAAGACGTGTGATTTCGTGATGCTTGCCTTCTTTTGCTCATGTCCTTGTAAACTGATCAGAAAGGTTTATTTTGGCTGGGAAAAYRCCCTGTAGCACTTTGGGAGTTGTAKTTACTCKGTTTGTWYAGTTTTATCTCAGTGGATTAATGATTCAAGGCAATACAGCAAAGCTAAGATGGATTTTCTGATTGTTTATCAGACATAATTCTGTTTTTATTTGCTTGTGGTTCAGTGAATCCTGGTTGGATTGTGATGAAACTTAAGTTTTTGGACTTTTTCAGCAGACATGTTGATTATGYGTGCGTTGTCAGCCAAGACCGAGTTTTTAGTTTATTTTAATGCAGTTTGTTTACTCGCCAGTTTAACTGCTTGGTGGACGAGCTTTTAGGGACCACACGTCTTGAGTTAGRTTATTAGTTAGCATTAGCTTCYGCTAATTTTCTTACCTGTGTGATTTAGCGTTAGCGACGCTAACCTTTTGGCTATCTGTGCTCACCACTGCCTTGTCTTGTTGACCCTCGTGTGTCCTACATAGGGACAGGAAGWAGAGGTGAATCTGATGAGAAAACACCTTTGAGCACTGTGATTCATCAGAGTGTATGTCTGTGCATGAGTGAATGTTGTGTGTTTGTAATATGTTCATATGTTCACCCCCGTGTCGTCTGTTTTCTGCAGATGTAATCACGAGAAGCCGTCATTAGATTGGTTTTGACAAAGTTTACTTTTTCAAAACCAAAACTTCTATCATATGATGGTTTTTTTCAAGTGTGTGTGTGTGTGTGTGTGTGTGTGTGTGTGTGTTACTACAAACATTCCTTGCAACCCTGTCTGTCAGCAGTGCTTTACAGAGCAGACTTACTGCCACTTTCTCCTCTTTTTATAAAAAAAACATACTGCCAAACCAAGTCCTGCATGTTTGACAATAACTTCTGCTGAAAGTTTGAAGGATGACAAATCCTCTGCCTAAACTTCCAACATCAACTTTATAATTAAACTAAGAAATCATGCTAACATTTTGATGTATAAAAAGTGTCAAAAGGACCAAGATAAGAGTCAGACATTATAGAGTGAAAAGCAAATTTAAGTGTTCCTCCCAATAAACCATTTGTGGAAATTAAACTATTTCTCTTGCTAATGAACCAGAGTTTCTGCCCTTCATGAGGATCAACAAATGCCTTCCGATAGTGTGAATTTCTTTTTTATATTCAAACATTGTTTTATGAAGGAGACTAACAACTTAAAGACTTTCCTTTCAGTTTTGAAGAGAATATTTTGAAAACAAAGGCAGCTCAGCTGTGCACTTTCTGCTCAAACACTAAAGCCCACAGCAGTGACACACTTTCTACAGTTTAATGTATAATTTGTACATGTGCTAAAGTTGCTTTGCAAAATCATTAAACATTTAAAAGTTAGTGTGACATCATCAGTGCTCATAAAAAAGTAACGTAAACTGAAAGTGTGCAAACTGTAAAACATAATGAGGCCAGTTCAGTCACATAAAGTCCGACTTTATTTGACACATTTAAGCTTTGAATGTTTTAAGTGTTACGTGTGTCTGAGCTGTAGATATAAAGAGAGAGAAGTTTTCCCACTTGTTTTATCAAAATATGGTTTTCTATGGGAAAAACTGCTTTATATGATGCCTCTACTAAAAGTCATAAAACTACGCCTGATTGAGACATATRTTTTAATGTATAATTTGCATGTTTTTTAAAGTTGCAGGTTGTAAAACAGACATAAATCATGACGGGAATGAAACAGAATMGTAGTGAAGACGCTTCAGTGTTGATGGTTTAACACCCTTTGGGAATTCTTTTTAAGTTCCATCAACTGAGTCAGCTGATTCTGCACCCATGGTCCCCATTGATCCATGATTCATATCCAAATCTTAAACAAGTAGTAAAACCTCTGCTAAAGGGCTGCAGAACCAGACCCAAACAGGTCTGGTTCTGACATTTATAAAGAGGGCATTTTATTCTGATCAGCACGGAGTGCAGAGTGACATTGAGGGTTAGAAGCACACGGTCTCTGCTGCACCAAGAACTTAGTTTTTTATCTTATCTTTGTCGACAAGATTGTAAGAATTGCTTGAAATCATCCAACTGGTAAATTCAGCACCTGTTTGCTCGGACCGGCCCGTCCGGTGACACTGGATAAAAAATTAAAATCTCATGGCCACGCACCACCAGATAAATAACACGTGGCCACAAGATCATTGTGACCCATCATATCGAAACGAGGATTAAGTCAAATCTGGTCAAAATGACCTAATAACATTTTTAGATTCCTGGTTTTAAATGCTATATTTTGATACCTGGATCATTCTGATATAAGAAAATCCATATACAGTATATGACTTAATTTGTCTTGTTAGTTATGATAATACATAAATATTTGGTCTGAATCCTAATTT